TCCCTCACAACACATTGAAAATACTTCTACCATTATACTCACCACAATGCCCAGAGTTAATGCTTCACAGATATGTCCACTCACTGCCCTGTATAACCCGACAGAAGTGCTTAGAAACTAAGAACATAATTATACACAATGTATCTGAAGAATAATTTGTAATGAGAAATTCCTTCATTCCAAAGCATGAGAATAATTCAAAAATCAAAAACATGGAGGTCATCATTATTCTAATAAAACATCACTCTAACTAACTCTGTGACAGGCTTTCCTGAAGTGGAATTGGACAGAGCATCAAAACAAATGTCCTTTACTGGCTATTTATTCAGGATACACCCTATTGACTGCTGCTTGCAGGGTCTACTCCAAACCCCTATTGCCATTCCTCTCTCTTCCATAAAGCCTAAAAAATCAAATATTATCTTTCCCTGACTTTGTCTAGCTAGAGATTTTCATGGGACATATTCTGGGATGTAAGATAGAAGTGGAAGTGAGCAGTCGTCTCCTGACAAGAGATGCACTTGGCTGGCTGTGAGGACATAAGGGGATAAAAGAGCAAAAAGGTGATAGCCTCAGTGGATTGTAGGTATTGGCAAGGTACTAAGATTATTGATGCAAGAATGCTGATGCGACGCAAGTGGCAATACAGGTGAAAGTTGTTGCAGACTAGTGCTGCAAATTTTACCGAAGACTATTTTCTAGGAAATGACAAGGTTTAGGATATGACCATGGGAGAGAGCATCCCTTGATATTTCACATGAATCTTGGGTGAATTTTTCCATTTCTGAAAAAAAATCATTGTGATTACGTTAAGGATTGCAGTGAATCTGTAGACCATTTTAGGTGGTATTGACTGCCTTGTAATTTATCTGTCAACTCATTAATAATGGATATATCTCCATTTATTCGTGCCTCCTTTAATTTCCTTCAGTAAGGTGTTGCAGAGTTCAGTGTTCAAGTGCTTCTCTCGTCCTTCGTTATGACAGTTCCTAAGTAATTGTTTCTTTTTGATGCTATGGCCAAGAGAAGTATTTTCCTTTTCAGATGGTTTTTTGTGTAGAAATATAACTGCTTCTTCTATCTAGGTATTTTTCCTGCAACTTTTTGACTTTGTTAGCTCTAAGAGGTTTTTCTCTTGAGTAGAATTTACATTTATAAGAACATGTCATAAGCATATAGACACAGCTTTATCTGTTTCCAATTTTAACAGGTTTATTTCCTTTTATTCCTGATTGTTCTGCCTAGAACTTCCAATACTATGTTGACTAGATGTGGAAAAGTGGAGCAAACTCATTGTGTTCCTGATATTAGAAGAAGAGCTTTCAGTCCTTCACCACTGAATATGAAAATAAGCTCTTGAGATTTTCCACATCTAGCCTTTATTTTGCTGAGATAGTCTCTTTTCTTTTTCGTGGTTTCAGTGGTATTTTAATCATGAAAAGGTGAATTTTGTTAAATGAATTTTCTGCATTCACTGACATGATCATGTGAATTATATTTTTATATCTTTCAATCTGTTCATGCAGCATAATACATTAATATTTGTATGTTGAGTCATAAATTATATTTGCATTCCAGAAATAAATGTTTGGTCATTGAGTATAATCCTTTTAATATACTGCTGAATTTTGCTGGTATTTTATGGTAGAGTCTGCATCAGTATTCATACGGGATGTTGGTCTATAATTTTCATGCAATGTCTTTTTCTGGTTTGGTACCATGGTAATCCTGGCCTCAAAGAAGGAACTAGGAAGTGTTCCCTCCTCTTGCATTTTTGGGAAGAGGTTGAGGAGTTATGGTGCTAAATGTTCCTTAAACGTTTGGAATACTTCTAAGTAAAATAAGGGTTACTAAAAATAAAAATAAATTTTTTTTTTAAATAGAAGAATTAACCAGTGAAGCCACCTGGTTTTGGCCTTTTTTTGTTGGGAGGCTCTGGGTTACTGATTAAATCTCCTTACTAGTTAAGGATCTACTCAGATTTTCTGTCTTTGTGATTCATTTTTGGTAGGGTATATGTTTTAAGGGATTTGTCTATTTCATCTAGGTGGTACAATTTGTTGGCTTACAATTGCAGATAGTGCTCTATTATAATCATTTTTCTCTAAAATTTGCAGTAATGTTCACATTTTTGTGTGTAAATTTTGTTTCTTGAGGCTTCTCTATTTTTTAGTCAATCTAACTATAGGTTTCTCAAGTTTCTTAATCTTCTGGAATAACCAACTCTCAGTATGGTTAATTTTCTGTTTTTCTATTCTCCATTTGTCATTGCATTAATCAGCATTACTTCTTTCCTTCTACTAGCTTTCTGGTTCAAATTCTTTGCCCTTTTGTAGTTCATGAATATAAAATTAGGTCGTGAATTTAAGATATTTCTGTCTTTAATATAAGCATTTACAGGTACAAATTTCCCACCTACTACTGCTTTTATCTCATCTGATAAATTTTGGCACATTGTTTTTATTTTCAATGGTCTCCATATATTTTCTAATTTCCCTTCTAATTTACTCTGACATATAGGTTAAGAATGTGTTTAGTCTCCACATACTTGTGAATTTTCACTTTTCTTGCTGCTATCATTTCTAGTTTTTGTGGTCTAGATTGTAATTTAAAAAAGTATTTTATTGTATTAAAATTTATTAACACTTGATTCATGGCCCAATATATAGCTATCCTGGAGAATATTCCATGTGCAAATGAGAAAATGTATATTCTGTTGTTGTTGTGTGGGTTATTCCATATATGTGTTTTAGGTCAATTTTGTGTATAATGTTCTTCAAATCCTCTATTTCCTTACTTGTTTGTTTGTTTGTTTTTTCTTACTTATCTTTGGTCTGGTTATTTGAAAGTGAGGTATGAAGTGTCCTAGTACAGTTGACCCTTAGTATATGTGGGGGATTGGTTCCAAGAACCCTGGTATATCACAAAGTTGTAGAGTGTCTCACTTCGGGATGAAATGCTAAACAATTGATTTACAGCCTTGTTGCCACCACCCAGACCACTAGGTGGCCCATTACACAAGATAACCATTGCAACCAGATAATACTGACCTGCATGCCCTACCAGTCATGTGCTTTGCCCAGCCCAGCCTTCAAACCCTATTCCTGATGTTAATTCCCACACTTTGCCAAATAAACAATCCTATGAGCTCTTTGAAAGGAGTCAGGAGATTCTCTCTTGTGCTGCCTCCCTTATGTCCTGGCATAAGCTCCAACGAAAGCTTGTCTGGGAAAACCCTTTCAGCCTCATTTCAATTTCTGTTGCAGAGAGCCCAGGAACCTGTGGTTGGTGGCATATTCTTTGTGGATTTGTCTAGGATCATGGGACATGGGGGAGGGCCTTTCTCTCCCTGAGGGGGAGACATGTGAGCTGACAGGACTGCTGGACAAGATTTCTTCACAATTGAAAATCACCTGACTGAACTTTTGATTCTGTGTTACCACAACAGGTGGCTTTCTCCAGCCTCATGGACCTCCTTGCCTCTGCCTCTGCTGTAGAGAGCCGAAAGCCAGAGGATCATGACCAACTCAGCACTCCAGTAAGGCTATATGATCAAACAGCACACTGTTTATCATGAATGCATGATGTGAGTAAACTCACATCTGCGCCTGCCGCCAGAAGGTTTGTTGGGTTCAAACACTCCCTGGTGCTGTGCTCCTTGAGGTTATCTACTGGAACATCTGGAGACTACTGTTCAGAGAATGCAGTCGTACAGGCCTGCACCAAGTCAAGCAGCTGACTGACAACCACCTCCTTCTCCCTATCTCCTTTGCTAAATAAATACAAAGGGATCTAGAAGCTCATGGCCCTGGTTCACTAGAAGCAAGGAGCCTCCTGACCCCTTCTTCCAAATATACTCTTTTGTCTTTATCTTTATTCCCGTGTTTGTCCTCCTTTGTTCAGTCCAAGAGGGATTGGGACCGCCTCGCCCTACCAGCCAATGATTTTCTTTCTTTTTGAGACAGGGTCTCACTCTGTCACCCAGGCTAGAGTGCAGTGATGTGATCTTAGCTCACTGCAACCTCTGCCTCCCAGGCTCAAATGATCCTCCCTCCTCAGCCTCCTAAGTAGCTGATACTACAGGCATGTGCCATCATGCCCGGCTAATTTTTGTATTTTTTAGAGACAGGGTTTCCTCATGTTGCCCAGACTGGTCTTAAACTCCTACACTCAAGCAATCTGCCCGCCTTGGCCTCTCATGCTGGGATTGCAGGCATGAGCCACAATGCCCAGTCAATCCCTTCCCTTTTTTCTCTCTTTTCCTCTTCCTACCTTTTTTCTCACTCAGGGTGCTTTGCCTCTCCTTTCCTAATCCTTACTGGCTTGTGTTGCCTGAATAGACATCCATGAGGAATGGGTGGAAAGTTTCCCTGTCTTACTGATCCAAGTCACCTGAATAGATATCCATGCAGGATGAATTGAAACGGTTGACTTTGCAGGCCTGATCAACCTGGCAAGCAGTGGGAGGGACTGCACCCCTCCCCTGGACTAAGTTCATTCGGGTTCCAGTCCCAAGAAAAATCTCTCTCCCTCTCTTTTCCTCTCTCTAGAACCCTGGCCCTTGATCCTGTAACTTTATTCAAAACTCCGCACTACTCAGCACTTTGGGAGGATGAGGCAGGCGGATCACGAGGTCAGGAGATTGAGACCATCCTGGCTAACATAGTGAAACCCCATCTCTACTAAAAAATACAAAAAATTAGCTGGGCTTGGTGGTGGGTACCTGTAGTCCCTACTACTCGGGTGGCTGATGCAGGAGAATGGCCTGAACCCGGAAGGCAGAGCTTGCAGTGAGCCAAGATTGCACCACTGTGCTCCAGCCTGGGCGTAGAGTGAGACTCCATCTCAAACAAAACAAAACAAAACAAAAACAAAAACAAAAAAACTCCTCACTACTTCACTTCTAATGTTCTACAGCCCTATAGGTGACTATAATCAACAGTAACTTGTTTCAAATCCAAAAAACAGATGTTCAATTTTTCCAACACAAATCATAAATGTTTCAGGTGATACACAAATTAAACTGATTTAATCAGCATACATTTATATACATTATATACATGTATCAAATTTCACACTCCACAAACATGTATAACTTATATGTCATTTAAAAATAATGATAAAATTATATCCAAATTCAAGCGTCTCTTGTAGCGCTTCCCACAGTCCTCACATTTGGATGGATTTTCTCCACTGTAGTCTCTTTGTTGATCTTTACAGTATGACCGGTGTACAAGCCTCTTTCCACAGTCTTCACATTTCGATGGTTTTCTTCGGCAGTGGAGTTTCTTATGATTCAAAATACTAGAAGCATGTCTAAAGCTCTTCCCACAGTTATCACAGTTATAAGATCTCTCTCCCGTGTGGGTTCTATGGTGGAAGTCAAGACCTGATTTACTAATGTAGCCCTTCCCACACTCCTCACATTTGTATGGCTTTTCTCCACTGTGGACTCGCTGATGGACCAAAAGATATGAGGACCATTTGAAGCTCTTCCCACATTCTTTACAATTATATGGTTTCTGTCCTATATGAATCATCTGATGCTTATGCAAATCTAGCCTATCAATGAAACCTCTTCCATACTTTTCAGATTTGTACAGTTTCTCTGCTGTGTGGACCATGCAATGCCTATTAAGACTTGACCTAAGACAGAAGCTCTTACCACATATTTCACATTTGAATGGCTTCTCCCCAGTATGAATTCTCTGATGTTTCTGAAGCTGGAAATTGTGCATGAAGGCCTTCCCACATTTCTCACAATTATAAGGTTTCTCTCTCATGTGTAATTTGCAATGAACTTTAAGTGCTGATCTACATCTGAAGCCTTTCCCACACTGCTCACATTTGAATGGTTTCTCTCCAGTGTGGACTCTCTGATGAGTTTGCAGACGTGAGCTCTGACTAAATTCCTTGCCACACACATCACACTTATAGCATTTCACTCCCATGTGGACTCTCTGATGAATATGAAGGGCTGAGATGTAACAGAAGCTTTTTCCACACTCATCACAGGTATGAGACTTCTCTCCTGAACATAACTGCTGAGGAAGATTAAAGATGGAAACATCATTGAAGGACTGTTTACACTTTCCACCCTGGGAAGGTTTTTCTCTTGTGTGAACTGTAGATAGTCTTTCCTCAATCTGGGAGGAGCCATCATCTTGTTCAAATAACTGAGAGTTATTTATGGTGGAATCTTGAGACCTGGTTAAGTCACTTGCAATTTGTTCCCAAATTTGCTTGCAGGAAAATTCTTCATGTGTTCCTGCTTCTGGAACAGTCTCCATTTCAGTTTGGATCTTGCCTATAAGGACACAGAATTAAGATATGTGGACAAGTAGGCCAGGCATGGTGGCTCACACCTGTAATTCCAGCACTTTGGGAGGCCGAGGCAGGTGGATCATGAGGTCAGGAGTTCGAGACCATCCTGGCCAACATGTTGAAGCCCCGTCTCTACTAAAAATACAAAAATTAGCCAGGCATGGTGGCATGCACCTGTAATCCCAGCTACTCAGGAGGCTGAGGCAGGAGAATTGCTTAAACCTGGGAGGCAGAGGTTGCAGTGAGCCAAGATCAGGCCATTGCACTCCAGCCTGGGCAACAGAGTGAGACTCTGCCTCAAAAAAAAAAAACCAAAAAACAGAAATAAACAAACAAAAAACACCAAACGAGACATGTGGACAAGTAAAGTCTTTGTTCAGTGTTTTCAAGACTTCACACTTAGGATGTGGGATTTAACTTTAATGAACATTCATTTTCTGTTTTCCAAACGCACCCTGGTTTCTGGTTTGCATTAGACCAATTTAGAACCACACCATGTCTCGTATGTAAAATTCTGGATAGAAATAAAATACTTGTTTAAAAAAATTAATATATACACTTCACTTATTGCTATTTCTAGTGAATTTTTTAGTGAGTCTAAAATGTTGTGTGGTAAATCATAAAGCTAAAATATTACATACGTAGTGAAATATGAATCCAAAGGAACTTTAAGGAGAAGCAATAACAGAATACATCGTTTATATATTTGTCTGTCACACGTCCTTACAAAGAAGTTAACCTAACTTGAAAGAGGCCAGGACGTTGTCAGCATCTGAGAGGTAATCTCTAGGATCTTGCAGTGTCATGCCTGAGGAGAGTCTCTTTGCTTGAAGGTAAAACCTGGGTAACTCTGGATAGTGAAACAATATTATTTAGGGTTGTGACTGGCCACTCCTTTGGCGCATGGCGGGTGGTACTCCTCACATCAGAAAGAACATCAGTGTGATTCATGGAGGGGCTTTACCTCACAGGGAATCAGTGAACCAGGAGACTAAATAACCACATGGGAATCAACCAACCAATTATGGCTATGTAATGGAGCCCCAATAATTACTCTGGATCCCAGCACTCAGGTAAGTTTCCCTGATTGGGAGTTATCTGTGTCTAAGTCACATGCTAATCCTGGCAATGTAACATACTCCACTCTACTGGGAGAATACAATAGAAAATAAGGATTTGGTACTTCCCTGGACTCTGTCTTATTTGGTTTCTCATCTTGGTTAACTATAATATGCATGTTTTCCCTGTAAGAATCAGTAACTATGAGGATAAAAGCATTCAGTGAATTCTAAGAGTCTTTCTAGCAAATTACTAAACATGAAGATAGTTTTGAAAAGCTGCCGAATGTTCACTTGATGTGAAGTGACAGCAGTCCTCTGTAAAATGTCCCACTAAACTTCACAGTTGGTTGAACTGTTCACAATGCTAAACACCAAACACCTCAGAGTGTTTAATATCTATACATTCAAAGTATTCCCCCACAATAATTTTACACATGTATAAAAACACTTAATCTTATTTTTCTGTTTTGATATGGACAGTAACTTGGTTGTATGAAAGAGTACAGGGACAGACAACTGTAGTTCTGAGGGGAATCTGAAAGGCTGTCCTTCCAGAGGTTCACAAAGGGGGATGCTCCTGAGCAGACAACCAAAGCTGTTAAGAATCACGTGGAATGAAAAGAAAGCCTATGATGTAAGCAGGTTTTATAACTTTTTATACTCAAGACTATGCCTCAATGAGCTGAAATAAAGTTAAAACCCACAATAAACATTTACAAAAAAAGAACTAGAATGAAAATTATTGCAGCATTATGACAAGCAGGAAAAATGTCATTACATGAATTGCTTACTAAAGCCACTCACACACATCTACACACATGAAAAATGTTTGTCTGGGTTACATTGAAAGGTGTGTTTCTTACTATGGCTCATGCTCACAAAATGTTTAGAACTTTGTCAGGATACTACCAAGTCCTGAATTAGGTAAATTTTTCCAACGGAAAGATAACTTCCAAATTTTTCCAATGGAAAGAATCTTGGAAAATATTAATTGGTAAGTATGTACCTGTCAGCACACAGTAGTACATGGATATATTTAATATGCTGTCACTTATAAATAAGCAGTCTCTAAAGAGAAGGGAGAGTATCCTTTGGGAGGTTTCTATTTTGAGAGCAGTTTCCCAATTCCTTTCAGGTCATAAAGTTCACCAGATGAAAATACAACACTCTATCTCTGTAAATATAAATAAAAATTTCTGTAAAATTTATATTCCTCTGTAAATATAAATAAAAATTTCTGTAAAATTAAATTTGTATAAAGATACAGAAATAGACACCACATTTTTTGAAGAAAAACATACAGAAATATAAGCAACATTCAGCTCACAGATATAAAGGATTTCTCACAGACATAAACATGGTCCTTAAGGAAAGTTCCAGGGTAAGCCCCATGGAAGGCATGTTTCTCAGTGTGGTCATGAAAATAATGCTTTAAAGTTTCCACGGGATGTGGGTCAACAGAACACACAGAAAACCAACCATGTCAAGAGAATCTAAGAAAGTCAAAATTGAACAAGCAGCCATACACAGACAAAAAAAAAAAAAAAACTGTCCTGCAACATACAGTCAGCCTCCATATCTGCTGGTTCAGCATACATGGATTCAACCAGCAGTGCATCAGAAGTATTTGGAAAAAAAAAAATTCCACAGAGTTCCACACAGCAAAACGTGAATTTCTCACATTGAGTCCTATACATTGAATCCATGTGAATAAAGCAACGGGTAGGCGTTGCATTTGGTGTTATACCTAATCTAGACATGACTTAAAGTATATGAGAGGATGTGCGTAGGGTATACACAAATACTTTACATGTAGAAGGGACTTGAGCATCCTTGGCTTTTGGTATCCACAAGGGGGCCCTGGAATAAAACCCCATGGTTACCAAGGCATGACTATATAACATTCACTCTGGTATATCTGTCACTTATTAGCTATCTCCATGATTCTTACAGACAGTCAAGGCCTCTCATCCATTAATTCATTCACAAGAATACCAAATATTTACAGATACCTGCCATGTACCAGGAGTATTCTAGGTGCTGAAGACGCAGTCATAAAGAAACAGATAAATACCTTCAGGAGACTACATTGTAAAGGGGAGAGGTGATCTATCTGTAGACAAAAATACATGAGACGCAACACATGCAGGCCAAGAAGAGTAAAGATAGGATAGTATTTTCAATAAGGTGCTTGGAGACAACCTCTCCTATGATATTAAAACTGAGCAGAGAGCTGCATAAACTAAAAGAGGGATCAGTAAGTTTTGTGGGGACAGTGTATTCCAATCAGAGAGAAGAGCAAGTGAGGGTTCAGAGGCAGAATCTTTTGTGGTAGAGAAAATAATCATTCCTGAAAGATGTTTACATCCAATCCTCGGAACCTATGAACATGTTACGTTCCACAGCAAGGGAGATTAAGATGTCATTGAGGTCACTAGCCAGCTAAGCAGAAAGTGGAAGGGTCATCCTGAATCATCCAGGATTGATGAATACTATCACAAGGGGCCTGAAAGGTGAAAGAGGAAGGCATAAGAAGAGTGGCAGAGGGAGCGTGACTATACTAGAATGGTCAGGGATGCAACATAGTTGCCTTTAAAGATGGAGGAAAGGAAATAAGGGTCAAGGAGTACAGACAGTGCCTAGAGACTGGTAAACCAAAATGAAGTCTTCTCCCCATGAACATCCAGAAAGGAACAAAGCCCTAAGACAGCTTGATTTTTGCCCAGTGAGATGTGACAGACTTCAGGCCTACAGAAGAGAAAGATAAGTGTTTCTTGTTCAATCTGCTGAGTTTTACATCACAGGCCACAACAGGCAATATGACGTCCTTGGCAGGATAGAGAAACAGCAGGGAGGACAATGTGCCTGGAAAAGATGGAGCAAGTGGGAGAGGACAGGAGATGCAGTCACGCAGTGTGGGATGAAGAGCAGATCACAGGGTCTACAAAAGCCACTTAAAGAGGTTGTAACACTAATAAAAACAAGAAGCCAGAAAGGCTTTTGAGCTGAGTAATGGCAATGTGACTTCCATTTCCTAAGGATCACTTTCGCTAGCGTGAGAACAGATGGCACGGTGGGAAGGGTTGGAGCAGGGGCATCAGCAGGAGGAGGTTGTAATAATCCAGGAAACAGGTTCGGCCATTTACCCCAAAATGCTGGAAATGGGCATGGACAGAACTAAAACAGACAGAAATAACATGCAGCAACACACAACTGCTTGGTTCTTACCAGAAGTCCCTTCTCTTTGGCTTGCTGTCTCCATCACCCAAAACTTTTCTTCCCTTAGGAAGTGGAAAGTATCTCCATGGAATGGTTGATGCCCCGTGAACAGGCAAAGTAACATGCTTAATCCCAACACGTTCAAAGTAATATCATGTTGGTGCAAACGTAATTGCGGTGTACCATTACTTCCAATGACAAAAACCACAATTACTTTTGCACCAACCTAATAGCTAGGCAAAATTTACTGGAAATGTAGGTTCTCACTGCACACTCAAACTTGAAAACCCTAGGATACAAAACCATTCCTGGGGTCTGACATTCCATTACAGAGGGTGCCTGTCCTCACCCACTGAGAGCAGGTTCCTGAAGTTCTCCAGCATCACATCTCGATACAGCTTCCTCTGGGCAGGGTCCAGCAGCTCCAGCTCCTCCTCAGTGAAGACCACAGCCACGTCCTTGAAGGTCACTGCCTCCTACAACATCAAGCAGATGTCACCTCGATCTTATAGCCAAGGACTATTGGTAGACAGCAGCATTGCACTGGCACAAGGGACAAGTGTAAAGTTGTTCTGGATCTTGAGACACAGGTCAGCTTACAGATTTACGACTTATTCTGTTTGTGTCCTGACAATGACTGATTTTCCTGAGCTCCACCAGAAATGCAATGATGAAAATGAGGCTGAGGCAGGAGAATCACTTGAAACTGGGAAGCAGAGGGTGCAGTGAGCCAAGATTGTACCACTGCACTCCAACCTGGGCAACAAGAGCAAAACTCTGTCTCAAAAACAAACAGACAAAAAAGAATAGAAAGAAAATGAGGTCCTATATTTTTACTTTGTGCGCTCATTGAGTCTAGTTATAAGTAACCCTCTAAAACTCTAAATGCTGCATCCTGGGCTTCATATATATGTATATAAGTTTCAATTAATCTTGCCTATTGCTCCAGCAACATTTAGTAATTCAGTCCCAACCTGGTTTGATAACAGTCATTGTTCTCTCTCATATTTTAACCCCGGATGCGATCACATTTCTTTACTATTTGCCCAACAAACAAGTTTTAGGTAACTGGGCAATTTTCAGTATTACCTTAGATTGACTCTGCCCACCTTCTTGCTCATAGCTCTCAATAATAACCATAGAATGTGCTACAAATGCAATGTACGTGTCCTTCCTAGGGAAGATAACATCTCAAGTGAGGGAGGAACTTCCCAGTAAGCTATATTGCCCCTGAGGCACATAATCCAGGACACGTTGCCTCTTGGGGTGCCTCGGCTGAGCTGCAAATGGGGCGCTTGCAATTCAGACTCTACCCACTCCAAGCAGCTTTCTTGAGCCTTGGGGGACTGGCTCACAGGGAACTGCAGGCTTTTGTTCTCCCTTGCTGCCTACCTGTAAGCAATAAATCTGCTTTATGTAATTAGTCATGTATTGAGTGTACTCTTCTACTGAACTCATGTACATTGGTAACCCGTGAACCTGCTCCACAGAATTGGCACAGCAGGGTCTGGTCCGACAGAACCATGCATTAGCAAAGGGGGAGCATAATGCCCCCCAGCTTGTGGTCCAGGGCAGTAATGGCAGCTTGGGGGCACAGGAGCTGGAAAGAAGCTGCATGATTTATGGGAAAAAACAGAGTGATAAGTGGGACACAGGTCACCCCTCTATAGATGTGAGCTGGCTGCATGGATTCAGAAAGAGAGGATGGCAAATGAAAACAGGGGAGCATGGCGTGTAATATACTGACTGTGGGGCTTTTAAGTAATCGCATATTCCTGGGGCCAGAGGGCTCTGGAAGTGGGTGAAGTGGGTTATCAGAAAGTCTCTGAGGCAGCTAAGAAGAAGGGAGCCAGTAAGCATGATGTGGGCCTTCGAGAAAGAGAGACTCACGATCTGCAGGACAGGTATAGGTAATATCATAAGGACATGCTATTTTGGCTATCCCGGATTGTTGGTGAGGGACGACAGATTTTTCTATCCCAAAAAGAACAGCACAATTAGGGATGGAGCCCGGTCTCCGGGTCTTCACCATTCCTATCAAGGTAAGAGGGAAGGCCGGGTGCGGTGGCTCATGCCTGTAATCCTGGCACTTTGGGAGGCTGAGGCGGGTGGATCACCTGAGGTCGGGAGTTTGAGACGAGCCTGACCAACATGGAGAAACCCCATCTCTACTAAAAATACAAAATTAACCTGGCATGGTCGCACATGCCTGTAATCCCAGCTACTCGGGAGGCTGAGGCAGCAGAATCGCTTGAACTCAGGAGGCGGAGGTTGCAGTGAGCTGAGATCGCGCCACTGCACTCCAGCCTGGGTAACAAGAGTGAAACTCTGCCTCAAAAAAAAAAAAAAAAGAGGGAAAAAGAGAGGGAGGAATTCAAATACTAATATTTCTTAGGGGAAAAATGAAACTAATGACATCAAAGCTTTTAGGAAGAACTCAGTGACTCATGACGCCTGTCTGCTTGTGGTGCTTATGTTTGGGGGTGAATCCTTTGGGCTACTTCAGGTGTCAGTGATTGTGGTTCCCACTGCTGAGTGTATTAGAAGCGGTGGCATTTGGGCTGTTCAGACACAGATATCACCGCTGCCTCAGAGGATATGTGTCCTTGCATGTAATTTTTGAACCATAACAGTGGGGCATATCCACTCCTGCCTACCACCTAAGCCACCCAAGCCCCGGTGGGTTCAGCAAAAGCACTGCTGCATGCTTAGTGGAGAACAAGACATACTTCATTAATTCAGGAATTACTTGCCACAGAGAAAAATGTTACACCAACCAGGTCAAAATGTAACTAACAGCCTACTTTTTTAGCTGGTCAGACAGACCTCCAGGGCATGGAGAGGAACAGCCGACTATGGAAGGCTGAATGCCAGTGTCACATGGATGGGAAGCCAAACAAATATCCCAGATACAGGCAAGCAAAAAGTCTTAACCGTGTCAGCACCCACTAATGGAATGGAGACTCATCAGCCGATAGGCCTTTGGGTACTGCAGAAAGCACATAACTCACTTGGTGTTCATTTAGCCCCATAGACACTGAGTGGCAAAGCCATCAACTTTGAATGGGACCCTTTGTAGTAGCAGGCCTTGGAAGCCATTCAACTAGCCAAGGCCCAGACATGCCTTTACACCTTCAGAACATGCTAGTCCAATGAAGGTACAAGGTCCATAATCTGCATGTGTACTGACTAGAGTCTGTGAAAACAAAACGTTGACACTGAGGTGCACCAGTCTCTGAAATTTTGGATATGTTGCCTAAGGCAGCCACAAGGGATGCTTGTATAAATGGCAATTCTTTGCTTGCTATTGGGCACTGATGGGGACAGTGCATCTTATCGCTGGAGTACACATGTGACATAAACTGCCCATTCTCACCTGGGCCCTTATTCACCCTACACATAAAGTTGGGCAGGCTCCCTTTGATAAGTGGTAAAGCTCTACTATCATAGGCAAATGGTACATTCGGCTGGGTGCGGTGGCTCACTCCTGTAATTCCAGCACTTTGGGAGGCCAAGGCGGACGATCACCTCAGGTCAGGAGTTCAAGACCAGCCTGGCCAACATGGTGAAACCCCACCTCTAGTGAAAATACAAAAATCAGCCAGGTGTGGTGGTGGGCGCCTGTAATCCCAGCTACTGGGGAGGCTGAGGCAGGAGAATCGCTTGAACCCAAGAGGCGGAGGTTGCAGTGAGCCAAGATCACACCACTGCACTCCAGCCTGGGCAACTGAACGAGACTCCTTCTCAGAAAAAAAAAAAAAAAAAAAAAGGGAAATGGTACATTTAAGATCAGACCCAGGAGGCTGTATGAACAAATGGCTAGCTTAACAGCAGAGACCAAATGACCCATAAGGGGGGTTCTGGCACCTCCTGGGGCTACCTGGGGCCCCAGATTCAGATGTGCCTACTGATGGTACAGTATGGTTTACAGACAGCTCTGTGAAACAACAAGGAGACAGGCTCCACTGGGCTGTGACCAGCATCTGGCCAGTGAATGGCTATCTTAAGGCTGAGACTGAACATGGCCCTTTTGCCTGATGGACCAAACTACATGCAGTGGTGACTGCAATGCAGGCAACTGCTACTACCATATCTTGCTACATTTTCATGAACTCTGGGCTGTTGTCAGCAGTCCAGCCATCTGGTCAGGAGTATGGCTACTGACTGGGTACACTGTGTGTGGACAAAAAACATGGCAATAGCTTGCTGCCTAGGAGGGATAAATACATGTCACTCATGAACACTGGGACTACCACAGCTGTCCTTGAGAAGAACTGATATTGTGTTTTTGAACACCTCATGGAATTTCACTCTGACCAAGGAATATCCTTCATTGACCATGCAAAACAATGGGCGCTCTCTCATGAAATATGATGAACTCGGCATGCACCCTGTCACCTGCAGGCCAATGGAGCTACTGAACCATAGAACAGGTGGCTCATAAAATCACTGAAAGGCCGGGCATGGTTAGCCCACGCCTGTAATCCCAGCACTTTGGGAGGCCGAGACGGGCGGATCACGAGGTCAGGAGATCGAGACCATCCTGGCTAACACGGTGAAACTCCATCTCCACTAAAAACACAAAAAATTAGCCGGGCGTAGTGGCGGGCACCTGTAGTCCAGCTACTCGGGAGGCTGAGGCAGGAGAATGGCGTGAACCCAGGAGGCGGAGCTTGCAGTGAGCTGAGATCCGGCCACTGCACTCCAGCCTGGGCGACAGAGCGAGACTCCAACTCAAAAAAATAAATACAAATAAAATAAAATAAAATCACTGAAGGGACAGACATTCCCATGGCCTGCTAGTAGGACAGTACTCCTGTCTGACTAGGGTAACATGGACACTACACTCTGCACACCAGTCCCAAGGAAACAACTCACTGCCACGTGTGCTTAGAAATACTGAGCTTGGTGGAAGCGGAGGTGGAGGCAGACATGGCAGCAGCCTGATTAGGCTGTGCCTCTGAGACCCCAATCTCAGTGTTCTCATCCATTCTTTTTCCTTTTAGAGTACACATTCTGGTATGCTTCACGATTCAGGTCACCACAGTACCAGACAAAGCTCTCCCTGACTCTCATCTGGAGGCAATGCTTCCCTGGAAATCCCAGACTTCTGTGGGATCTCAGAGGGTTGAAGGATGAGACCATGGAACACCAGGGTGTTAGGATCCCTCTAATGGTGCTGAAGATTACTGAGCTTTCCATTTGGGTGGGTGTCACTAGCAGGCATGTCTTTTTGTACAGGACTTGGGCTCCTTTCCTGACTGAACAACTGAGGCACGAAGGTCTGGGCCAAGCAACCAGGGGAATGGATGTCTGCAGTGGTAGTAGCCTCAGGGCAGGGACAGACAGACTGGGTCGCTGCACCACCTCAGCCCTCCGCCTATCCAACATCTGTCAATCTGTTGTTTCCACAAGGATGTGGTGGCAGAGCACAGCACACTCAGGTTCTCCCAAGCTGTGGCCACTTCAGGTCACCTGATCTGCTTTGGATTTGTTCTGTCACCAACCACAGTGACCCTCCGGTCTTGACTATGGTAAACCACACCAGCATTGGTCACATCACAGTGTCCGCCAACAGAACCCAAGCCCTGGCTTACCAAGTGAGGACCTGGCACCTGCCACATGAGAGCGAGCTGGAGGTGC